TAATTGAATCGCCATATTGTAACAAGTTTAACGAGGTGTGCATTTAAGTAATTACGGCCAGCAATTCATGAATACTCTTCAGATTCATGAGTCAATTCTTGTAATAGAAATGTGTATTGAATTTATTCAAAAGTAGGCAAAAGAATTGAAAGTTCTTATATACATGGAAAATAAATCAAAGATCCGCGATGACTTCGACACTCTTTTTTTGAGCCGGTTGATTTCGCATCTTGAGCGTTGGAGTGTGACAACCGCTGTCGGCTCTCCTTTGTTATTTGCAACCTGAAGATACGACTTGGGCCATGACTGGATACTTTTCTTCTTTTTGTCTTTAGGCTTTGTTTGCATTCCATAAAGGGACCACCCAATAAAGAACCGCTATAAGATAATTCAATTATTAAAAGAATAATAGACTCATCAATGTATTTATTCAAGTACAATCAAAATGCAACATTTGCGCGTGTAAATAGGCAATCAGTGGCGGCTCGTCAGAGGAGGCAGGGGAGGCTGAGCCTCCTCCAAAAAATTGAAAATTCAATCTCAGTTTTTTATTCCTAATTTCTAATTAAAATAATAATTCACAAATTACACTTTCCAAATTTCGATAGTAATGTAATTTAGAAAAATCTGACATTATTTCAATCAATCCCGCGCCTCCACAAGAAAAATCTGTGAATCTGGGACACTCAGTAATAATACGAGCCCGAAGGGCCGGAGTTATACGCGAGCCCGAAGGGCTAGAATTATTTTAATCACGAGGCCCAGTCTATAATTCTATTGGTCAGCGGATAATTTGGAGCCAATCAAAAATCGGGAATATTCAAAATGTAATTTTTAGTCAATATTCCGAGTTTCAGTTTTCTACGATGTACCGGAAAAAAGTTAGCCTCCCCATCTTTCTTGATTTTGAATTAAAAAAAAAAACCATCGGATAGAGGAGCAAAAAAAACGCTGAAAAGTTTATAGGACCTTGCTTGCTATGACGCATTTTAGGGCCGGGATGTTACACGCATTTCGTTGCCGGCGCCATAGTGGGCTAAATTTTTGTGTCTGGCTAATCAAGAACCTGGAATAAAAGGATTCATGAGAAATTTGGAATAAGAGAGATTGAAACGATGTAGATATTCAATGGGTTAAAAAGAAATAGATATAAAGTAGACAAAGATAGAAGGTGATACGAATTTTGATTGTTTTCGGCTCGGCGATTGAGTGGCTTTGTAGGTTATGTATTTTTCCTACAATCGCCCTAGAAAGCAGGCTTTGTCGATTAGATTTGTGATCGCAAAGTAGGCGTTTCCTGATGACCTTTACTTTGCCGCTCTAGAGCGGCAAAGTACTAAAAACGCTCGCTTGTAAATTTTGTATTTTCCCAATTTTGTATTCCCACTTTTTTCTTCCCCGACCATTTTTTTTCCCGACTTTTTTTTCCCGACTTTTTTTTTCCCGGCAATTATTTTTTCCGATTTTTTTTTTTGCGACTTTTTCTTCTCTTTTATTTTCTCTTTTTTTTTTTTCTCTTTTTTTTTTCTCGACTTTTTTTTTCTTGACTTATTTTTCCCGGCCATTTTTTCTTCCCGGCCAATTTTTTTCCCGACCAACTTTTTTTTTTTCACGACCATTTTTTTCCCGACCATTTTTTTTCTCGACCATTTTTTTCCCAATTTTTTTTTCCCGACAATTTTTTTTTTCGACCATTTTTTTTCCCGACTTTTTTTTTCCCGACTATTTTTTTTTTTTGACAATTTTTTTCCCGACTTTTTTTTTCCCGACTTTTTTTTTCCTGACTATTTTCATTTCGACCGATTTTTTTTTCCCGACAATTTTCTTTCCCGACCATTTTTTCCCCGACTTTTTTTTCCCCGACTTTTTTTTTCCCCGACTTTTTTTTCCTGACTATTTTCATTTCCCGACCGACTTTTTTTTTCCCGACAATTTTTTTTTCCGACTTTTTTTTTTCACGACCATTTTTTTTTCCCCGACCATTTTTTTTTTCCTGACAATTCTTTTTTCCCGACAATTTTTTTTCCCGACTTTTTTTTTCCCAACTATTTTTTTTTCATGACCATTTTTTTTCCGGCTATTTTTTTTCCCGACTTTTTTTCCCGACTTTTTTTTCGCGACAATTTTTTTTCCCGGCCATTTTTTCTTCCCGGCCAATTTTTTTCCCGACCAACTTTTTTTTTTTCTGGCTACTTTTTTTCCCGACTTTTTTTCCTGACTTTTTGTTTCCCGACTATTTATTTCCATTTCCTGACCGACTTTTTTTTTCCCGACAATTTTTTTTCCCGACTTTTTTTTTTCACGACCATTTTTTTTCCCCGACCTTTTTTTTTTCGAGCATTTTTTTTCCCGATTTTTATTTTTCCCGACAATTTTCTTTCCCGACCATTTTTTTCCCGACTTTTTTTTCCGGACTATTTTTTTTTCCCGACAATTCTTTTTTCCCGACCATTTTTTTTCCCGAATTTTTTTTTCACGACTTTTTTTTTCCCAACAATTTTTTTTTTCATGACCATTTTTTTTCCGGCAATTTTTTTTCCGACTTTTTTTTCCCGACTTCTTTTTCGCGACAATTTTTTTTCCTGACCATTTTTTTTCACGACTATTTTTTCCCGACTATTCTTTTTTTCCCGGCAATTATTTTTCCCGACTTTTTTTTTGCGACTTTTTCTTCTCTTTTTGTTTTCTCTTTTTTTTTGCTCCACTTTTTTTTTTCTTGACTTATTTTTCCCGGCCATTATTTCTTCCCGGCCAATTTTTTTTTCCGACCAACTTTTTTTTTTCGACCATTTTTTTTCCCGACTTTTTTTTTCCCGACTATTTTTTCCTGACTTTTTGTTTCCCGACTATTTCCATTTCCCGACCGACTTTTTTTTTCCCGACAATTTTTTTTCCCGACTTTTTTTTTTCCCGACCAATTTTTTTCTCGACCATTTTGTTTTCATAAATTTCTTTCCCGACAATTTTTTTTTCGACCATTTTTTTTCCCGATTTTTTCTCGATTTTTTTTTTCCGAATTTCTTTTTTCCCAATTTTTTTCCCGACTTTTTTTTTCCCGACTTTTTTTTTCGCGACAATTTTTTTTCCCGACCATTTTTTTTCACGACTATTTTTTCTCGACTATTTAAAGTTTGTTCAAAATTACACACTGCCACTGGTAAAAACATTGTTGCCGTTTTATAGCTCTATCTCTCTCTTCTTCATATAATAAGATTTATTACAAAATAATACACAAAATAATAATAAATAAAGTCTATAAAATTTTTTTTTTACTACTAACCTGAGAAATAGACATTATTCAATCTATTTTTCTAAGAAAAAATTGAATTTCTCTCCCTAGGTTAATAATGAAAATAATGAAAAAATACCTAGGTCAATAATGAAAATGACGTCATGACGCAAGGATATTGTCGTGTTTCTATTGGTTCAATTTCAGTTTCATACGTCAAATTGAAAAAAAATACAGGTTTCTGTAGGTACATAGGAAGTTATATAAGCTGTTGATAGAGGGCAGCACTTTCAAGAGGGCGTTCACAAAAAATAATTAGAGCACAGATTTTAAACAATTTTTTTATTTTCTACTAGCAGTAGTAAAAAAAATTCTATATATTCCTCGGTAGAGAAAGTCATTATATACCTCACGCATTATAAACCTCGGCGCTGCGCGCCTCGGTTTATAAAAGCTTTCGGTATATAATGACCAACTTCTCTACCTAGGTATATAATATACTATCAGTGGCGGCTCGTGGTATAACATATTGGGGGTGCACATAATTTGTAATTCATAATAAATGCCGGTTGCGTTTGTTTTGCTGGCGCATTTGGCCACTAATTTTTTAAATTAATACTTTACAGGTAGAGTGTTAAAATTTGAAGAATGATAAAATTAAATTTAAAGTTGTTTGATATTAATTTGGGAGTGCACGTGCACATGTGCTCTTATGGAGGAACCGCCACTGTATACTATTGCAAAATGCCATCACAATATATCCTGACTACTGCTAAATAATAGACTAATTGTAAGGCTTGGCCGATTTTTGAGTAAAAGCCGGCAACAGTGTGTAAAGTCAATTTACAAACCGGTTGGCAACACTGATTTGAGTTTAAATTTGCCGCCATGTTGTTTTTCAAAGCGAGTGTTTTCCAAGGGGATTTTGTTTGAAAAATATCTCGTACGCCTATGGATGGTAAAGCTCCACCCATTTAGACGCCTTTCATGGGTCCCAAATGGACGAGGTTAATTGCCAATAAACAAGGGGTGGAGTCATACAATCCATAGGCGCACCTTTTTTGGTTAAACATTGGGGAAATAGACAAAATTTGAGTTGGAAAAACTGAGAATTAACTGGAAAAAATAAGAGATAAAAGGACCAGAATCGGCACTCAGTACCTATCTCTCTTTGGTTGTCAGCCATTTGTAGACTGTCGGCCATTTTCTATTACATTACAACCAATGAACGGTCCGAAGAAAGAGTCTAATTGAGCTGTAGGAAATAACTAGCCCTTATTGGCCTACGGAGGAGCCTAATGGAGGGATCATTCCCTAATTGGCTAGAGAAAAGAAAAGGGGTGCTGGTCTGAAGCGACAAGAACTCTACTTCAATGTTTTTCCCCTTCCATGCATTTGAATTTCCTTCATTGACAAATTCAAGAGCTGGGAATAAACAAAAAATGACTTTTGATCTAAATTTCACACATTTGATAGAAATATTATTAGTACACTGTTGTCACGTTGTACCTAATTTCTAAATTTTTTTTTTTCTGTGGCTACCTTACCGTAATTTGTTATTCATCATTTGAAATAGTCACGAGCCGCCACTGTAGGCAATAATTTACCTCAGCTGATCTAGTAGTACAGTTACTATTAGGTATTCAATGTTTACTATGGTGGTGCGGTGCGTGATTAGTGAATAATTATTTGTTTATGCATCAGGTTCGATGAAATTACTGTTTCAACGCCTTGATTACTGCGATAATACATTATGGAAAGAAGAAAATAATTCATTATCAGTTTTGGACATGTTTTATTTAATTTTTTTTTTTGGTTCTACTCCATTTATCAGTAAACGTACAATTTACAAAAACTATTTACAAGAAAATTCTGGAAGGGTAATTTCAATTTAAAAGAAAATTTTGACGTAAAGGCACATTTATATTTTGTGTATGCTTGGACACATACGAAATGAGTTTGTTCTTATAGTGATGGAATGGTCTATTTCTGATGGAATGTTGTATATAAATAACTTTTTTTTTAAACACTCAGTCAGTAATTTCTACAATACTACCTACCTACATAATTTCTAATTTACATTTTGGAAAAGTATCTATACATACTAGAAATAGAGAAAATAGTTTACTAGTACCTTAACATAAATTAAATTTTTTCAATCAACCCCAAAATACCATTGTTATATATTTTTTTGTTAACTTAAAAATCACATTTTTTTCAAAACTTATAATACTAAAGTTACACTCTAATAAATAATACATATACTGTATGAGGTATTGCTAAAATATTAAATAAAATATAATATGTACAATACCCTGACCCTAAAATGGTAATTACTAGCCAATATTACTCATAATTAGGGCAATATTATAAAACTAAAGATCCTTTTTCTACTGCTATCACAATATAGTTTAAAAAATGGAGCATCTAAAACCGAGATTCTTGACCGCCATTTTTCGTTGAGTCCTCATATTAGGGCTTAAGTCTTTTGAACCCAGCACCATCTTGACCTAACTTCAGTTCCTCGTAAAGTGTAGGATTAACTTCTTGAGCTACAGCAGGCACGTGAAGTTGTTCATTTTTCCATCCTTGTCCACCAGAAGTGCTTGATACTGAAATACTTCCATTGGACGTTGTTGAACTGTCTTGGCCATTAGGAATCTACAACAATGAATAATCACAAAACTGTTAATAAAATTGGAATTGGTACCTACTTGTACATTATCCATATTAACCTCCCTGAGATAGCTAGGGTTTTCAAAAGCAATTCCGTTAGTACCTTTGACTCCGAGCATTTTTTTAGCTCTTACAAACCAAACAGCTCCAGCTACAATAGCTGCCACAACTACCAAAGCTAATACGATAGCTACAGCAGCTCCAACATGGCTGCCTTCTTGGCTTTGACTAGCTGCTGGAGTGATGTAAAGAGATTTTTCACCCATAGTGAATTTTATTGGATCAGCTAATGTTGAAGTTCCTTTACTGTTGCCTGCTTTAACTACTGCTTCATAGGTAGTACCATCTAAAAATTAATTAGTTTTTATTAAAGTGTTATAACCAAATTTAAAGGGGTTACCTTTAAGGTCAGATATCTTCAGTTTTGTTTCAGCAGTATCACCTTTTTGACTAGATCGGTTCGGAGAGTCTACAGGTCTCCAAAACACCCGGTACATTTCTACAGTGTGCGGGTTTTTGACTGGCGGGTCCCACATCAGGTACACGGAGTGCGCGTCTATGAATTCTACACGGACATTTTGAGGAGGACCTGGCAATTTATCCCTGAAAAATGGAACAAAATTTAAAAACTGCCAGTTATTGTTGAAATATATAATCTATTCACAATCCGAAGTCCAAAGGTAAAGGTAGATTTCAGTTGATAGTTGATACGGATTCTATTTTATTTATAACCTGCATAAGTTGGTAACATTTTGACATGTCTTTTGGAGGTTACGCATTTTTGATGACACACTGAAATATAGCAGAGCAGGACTGAAGCATATTTTTAAACTTTGAATAGGTACTTTTAATACCGTTCAAATGAAACAACAATCTTGTATCTTTCGTTTTGAATGCCTAGGAGAATATTGTCCATGACTCTTTGGAATGTGAACGGGGCATTTTTCAATCCAAATGGCATACGTGTGAATTCGTAAATATGTGATTGACGAAGTTCTCAGTAGACATGGTCATGAAGTTTTGAGATTACCTCCATAGTCCATACTATTGTCAATATAATCCTATTGAGATGGCATGGGGATTTACTAAGAACTTTCACAATAACCACATAAGCGAGGAGGCTTCATCGAAAAACAGATTTGTAATTTTATGGAAAAAGGCTTTGTTTGTCTATAGGTACTCCAGACATGTGGGTGGCAAAATTCTGTTAGGCATTTTGAAACTTTGATACATGAGGACTGGGAGTTAATAGAAAACACTAGCTTCGTAAACATTTCTCCTATCATCATTCGCTTCAATGAGTCATTATGATGAAGAAATTATGGACACCTCAAGGTGTTTCCACTCTTCTTTGTTTTTGTGATATTGTCTGACCAGCGAGTGCAAGGTCAGTCTGTCTAGAATTTTTCGCAAAATCCAGAAATATCTTAATATACAAGGAGAGTCATTTAAAAAAACATAACTTTGTGTCACTACTAGTTATTGGGCCACCCTGTATACTGGAAAATAATTTAGGAGTGTAGTAATCATATTTATCTACAAGTTTTGTATTTAGTTTTTTCTCCGATCTCCATTAGTATAGGAGATATGGACCACCGCGCGCTTAGTAACTCACCCTGTATAGAGTAATTTTCGGTTCCAAGTTCAGTGTTGTGTGTACTCTGATACCTCACTTTCGAAACGTTAGCAAAACGTCGGTCGCAAATGAAAAACCCAATGAAAAAGTAAACCTAAAATCCTACAACCCTGGTTACAAATTCGGCTTCTAGTTGAACAAAACGTGCTCTTTGCTCGCACGACAAACCAACAAAATGGCGTAGACTTTTGTTTCCAGAAAATTCTGAATGGTTGGCTTACAAATACGGGGACTTACGACCAAATCCAAGTTTTCACCCCAAAACCAATTAAGTCAGCAACCACTTGAGTTCCTAACGCCTCTAAAATCCCACAAAAAAAAGGTAGATGTTCCAAGGAACTTGTTGGTTGCTCAACGTGCGAATTTAAAGAGAACGACCTTACTTTCGGCAATTTATTAGGTGAGGTCATATGAAAAATTCCCCAGAATTCTTTTTTTTTTCCAAGATGCCCCATGGTGCCAGATTTTCGGTCTTGACCAGGAAAACAAGAAAATCAGCTTGAAACGAACAACCCATTGCCCATACCACATTGATAACCAACAAAACTTAAAGTTGTTATCTAATTTTCTCCTCTAACATTAATTAACTAATTAATAAACATTATCTACCCAATCTTTATAGCACAAAAACTATCAAAATGACCACTTGTTCAGTGGTAGCAACTACAGTGACTCTATTACCCACAGTGGTCAAGAAACCTCGGCAACAGCGCTGCCTGAAACGGAACAACCTTGTGTCCCATAAGCACACTTATTCGGCGAAAATAAATAACCGAGAAAATGTAAATATTAGTGCAAATAAGGGTGAAAAAGCGATTTAAAAGGTGTGAAAGTGATTTTTGGTGTTGCTGAATTTTTAATAACGGAAAATACGAGACTCGTAAGTGTTGCCAATTGATATTTATTCGGAAGTAAACAAACATTTTCATCAACAGTTAGGGCTCCTTTTCAGACGATTTTCGAAAGCTAAATATTAGTTATTTCTGATATAAGTGCTAAAAGTAACATTGTATTTTGTGAAAAGGGAAGTTTGGGACACGACGCCAAAGGCGGAGTGTTCCATCCCTTTGAACAAAATAAAATCACTTTTAGCACGAATATCATACACTAGTTTTTCTACAAACGCACTAAAAGTGATTACTTACATGATTACAAAAACTATCAAAATGACCACTTGTTCAGTGGTAGCAACTACAGTGATTCTATTACCCACAGTGGTCAAGAAACCTAGGCAACAGCGCTGCCTGAAACGGAACAACCTTGTGTCCCATAACCACACTTATTCGGCGAAAATAAATAACCGAGAAAATGTAAATATTAGTGCAAATAAGGGTGAAAAAGCGATTTAAAGGGTGTGAAAGTGATTTTTGGTGTTGCAGAATTTTTAATAATGGAAAATACGAAACTCGTAAGTATTGCCAATTGATATTTATTTGGTAGTAAACAAACATTTTCATCAACAGCCAGGGGGGCTGCCCACAAGGTGGGCTGTCCACAAGGTGGGGTGCTGTCACCTTTGGTATCTGGTAATGGACGGACTTCCGCGGGAACTGAACATAGCGGGTTACTATTTAACAAAACGGCCCTAAAAATCCTTTTTTTTCCCAGCGAGATTAAGTCGCTAAATTTCTGACGAAACCGTGTCAAGAGCCAAGGGTTATCAGTCGGATCCCGAAACAATGTCCTGATTGTGTCTTAAAATACGACTCTCGAACAAACCGCATGTTTTGCGACCGATAAGAATCCCAAAAACGTTATCAAGCTGCCAATATAAATAAGCATATGAGTCTCTTAGATTCATTCAGATCTGTAACGAAGTTCTGATGTTTAGTGTTGACGTCTTTCTGCTGACTCTCTTTCCGAGACCTTAGGTAATGTTTCAATTTCAAGTATTTTAATTTATTCATCATGATTGTTGTTTTCTACCTATTATTTATTTTCTCCCCTGCGTAAAGAACAAAAACATTGGGTTAGCTTCACAACTCAAATCCCTCTTCTAAGATGTATCTTACCTTGAATAACAAGGCCGTTTTATCATTCCCGTGACTTTTTACCCATTAAGAATTATAACCTAGTCTTTATTTTCTGTATCTTTTAATCCTTAATTCCTCATGTAATTTGTACCATTAAGGAACGCCCTATACAGGACGCTTATTGATTTCACTCCCTATCATTCCAAATCTCCTTATGTATTTTCTTTCATCTCATTTCAGTAAACATTGGTATTAACCTACTGTATATTTTTTACTTTTCTTTCATTTCCTTATCAAAATTGACTATTTGTTTAATAAACCATTGTTAGAGTTTAGTAAGAAAAACTATTTTTTTTTTTTGGGAAAACCCCGAGCTAACATTCTAAGTAACTGCGTACAGCTCAGGTAGCAAGAACCCGCACTGGAAGAGGCGATCTAATCAGATTACTAAAAAGTATCCGTTCAAAGTTACCTAGATTTTCAGTGGGACTTTAAACAACGTACCAGTGCTAAAACGAAGTCTTCCTTACCCAATCGTCGCAACCAGGTGGCGGTGGTAACAAAATCAAGAAAGCCAATAACGCCTTATAGGCATGTAAAAGAGCTTTCAGTAACATGTGGGGCCTGAAACCAAAGATCCACCATTGGATATACATAGGGATCATCCGACCCATTATCACTTACGGTGCCATCATCTGGTGGCCCGCTACAAAGTCGGCCAAGGCTAGGGCGATGCTAGACAGTGTTCAAAGGCTTGCCTGCATTGGAACAACTGGTGTCATGAGGACGACCCCAAGTACTGCTCCACTGGTTTCTGGAAAATGAAGCCCTGAGATCAGCAATCAGGCTGCAAAGACATTGTCACTCGAAGAACAACAATTATCCTCGGGGATACATACGCATATGGAGCGAGATGACACTCCGTTGCCCAACTCTACTAATAAAAAGGGACAAGACTCTTCCAAGCAACCAGCCGCGAGGAGGTACAGGTATCGATACGTGAGGGACTCAAAAGCTCTATGCCCAGAGATGTGGCTTCTTGAAAATGGATGCCTTGAGAAAAACAGCTCCCCGGTAAAAACAGCTCCCCGGTAAAAACAGCTCCCCGGTAAAACTCACGAGGGGGTTCGAAATTCAAACTCAAATAAAACGGTTATCACAAGATTTTTTATTTAATTTTTTTCGGAAATCAATGAATTACTGCCTTATGCAACCTTATTTCATTAAAATAATGCCTGAAGGCCGATAGGGAACTTTTAAGAAAAGGACCAAAATTAACAAACAGAGCTTCTTTTCGAATAGCCAACGGAAAATGTTGGTACTAAACCGGTACTTCTAATTCAAACGAAAATCGCGCCTTCTACATAGTGTTATAATTTATTAATTGCTATTATTATTTTCGACAGAAATCTTTTCTTTCTTAATTTCAGTTGCGAGACTGCAACATTAAAGGTAAATTAACTTTATTTTCAAACGTCATATAACAGTAAATAAAATTTTGACAAGGTAGAAGAGTTATTTCAATGCCATTCTAAAAGGTGGTTATGAAAACCTCCAACATGAATTCGCAAACAGGGATATTTAAGTCTACTCGGACAACAGGGCGGCACTGCTAGCCCTGTCTTCCATTACAGTGGACTCAGCCCTGGTGGCAGATTACAGAACTGTACTGAACGCCGTGGCCACATAAAACGAGGTGAACCTCATCTGGATACCGGGACACTCTGATGTCCCGGAAAACGAGGAAAGTAAAATTTCATCGTTACTCACCTAAGTTCATGGAAACATCCCATAATATGTTTAGTATAAGACAGCACGCAAACTTTATTACTTAAAATTGGTTCTCCTCGGCACCAATCCAAGCACCTCCTAGGTACATTGGCGTGCGCGCAACAATTCCTATGATCCGACCCGTCTGCTGCGCATCGCATTAGCTTGTCAAAGTCTTGAATACATTCTGGCTTATCGATAACGGCATCAATATCCAGATGGAAGGAGCAAGCGTCCATACAAGTGGACGTTACGTTTTGTTCCAGGCAACATTGAGTGACATTGTTGATGGTTGCCAGATTTCTTATTCTAACCGAAACAGGTTGTGTTGAACTGCCAAAGGCGTTTTCTGCGTGACAATAGTATTCTCCAACATCAACATCTGTTATTTGTTTAATGGTCAAATGCATTACATATTTGTCTTCTTCGTCTTTGGCTTTATTTATTTGAATATCGTATTTGCCTCCTTGAATAACTGGCGTGCGTTCTTCGTGACTTTTCCAGAAAATCATTTTCGGCTCTGGTGTGGCCTCAACTTTACATTCCAACGTTACGGAATCGCCAATAGTTGCCATTGTAATTCCGCTAGCTTGAATATGAGGACCATCTACAAAAGTATTAATAATTGTATTTTATAATAAGTATTTTTTGTGTTTGACTTACGACTAATTGTAATTTTTCTGGATGCTTGCATAGGAGTTCCATAGCCGTTGTCAGCATAGCAAGAAATCTGATCCATATCTCTTGTGACATTATGTATAACAGTCACCATATGCCTAGTGGTGTCTTGTCTTACCAATCTGCCCGATATGTATAAGGATATTGTTGGCATTGGATTGCCCATTGCTATGCAAAGGATTGTCATACTGCTTCCTTCTATGACCAAATTGATTGGGTGAACTGTTGGAGGCTAAAAAATACAATAATGAATCATATCTAGGTGGAAATCTTGATATTACCTACCTCAACAAAAGCTGGATAAGCAGGATCAGTCCAAGCAATTAAAGTTTCTGAAGGCATGCTGACACCTTTGTCTGTTACAGCTTCAACATAAATGATATATTGGGTATTAGGGCTAAGGTCTTTTATCATATAAGATGTAACTGAAGTGTTTTTTATTTGATATCCTTCATCAGATGTTGATTTGTAATAGAGCCTGTGAAAACATTAATATCAGCTGAAGGTTAATAACAAACTCAACTCACCTATAAGAAATTTGCTCTGAAGGATGACTGAATTCAGGTGGTTGCCAAGTGATGGTAACCCAAGTAGCACTATGGCTAGCAACAGCTAAAGCATGCGGTGGTGATGTGACAGCATTAACCCATTTACCATCAGTAACGTTGGCCAATTTAATAAAAACTATCGAAGATGGCAAAGAAGTACCATAATTATTCCTAGCAACAACAAACACGTGATACATGGCATTTTCTTCTAAATCAGTCAAAGCGTAATAATATCCTGTTGTGTTGATTTGCTTATCTAGTTTCAACAAAGTTTCGTGCATTGAGGTGTTGTCCACTTTTTGATAATGTATGACGTAATCTGTGACGTTAGGGCCTTCTTCGGGTGGAGACCATTCTAAGATTATACTGTTACTGTCTGCTGCAATTGCGTGGACTCCTGTTACTGGAGCTGGTAATTTGCCGGTACCTAAAAACGAACAAACATCAGTTGGCTGTTTATCGCATAAAATTTGTTCTTACTGGGGATTTACGTAGAGTCAAATTTCGAGTCAATTGGGCATATAGTTTTAGAAATCTCGTGATGAGTGAGTCAGTGGTAGTTCGCTGTTATATACATGTTGGGTCATTGAGTAATAGGTTTGTGGGCCAAGAGAATGAAATGAAATCAGATTGGCATAGATGGGCAAAAGCCTAATGTAATATTCCGAAAAAATAGATCCATAAATCACAATGTCTTTACTGTAAAAATTTAATAACTGTCAAATAATCAAAAACAGAATTTCCGGTATCTCCAAATCAGTATCAATAAATTGAAAAGGGAACAAATTAACGGTTAATATTATATTAGGTATTTCGTCATCAAGCCTGTGTCATCTCCTAAATCAATGAACTTAAAAGAGCGAGGCCAAGTAATATTAAATGATTTATGGCATTCTTGAACGCAAATTAGGATATTGCGACATAATTATTCGATTTTTTTAAGCTAAGAATGATAAAAATTTCAAGGAAATTGCATCATTGCTAGGCAAACGACCGCCTATTGACAATTTGGGGGATAATTAATAATACTTTGCGGGGGGATCGAATTAATATAAATACCGCGGTTTTAGAAGTGGAAGTTAGTTGTCAGTTGAGAGATGAGTTCGTAGTCCTGTCCAGTTTGAGTTAAAATCTACAGTACCTAAAGAGTCAGTCCGGAAAGTTTCTCGTATTGCCTCGGTAACAGTCTTTGAAAAAGTAGCGGAAAAATTTTGAAAGAAAGAACAATTAAATTCGTCAACATTTATGTGCGTGCTAGCTAAAAATTTTGAGTAATTATTTAAGTAATTTTACGTGTGCAAAGTAAAATATAAGTACTTTAGTGTTTAATAATTTTCTGACTTTTATCAATGATTCTGAATGATAAGAAGTGAATTAACAATGACTTTTAATGCCTAAAAACTTGAGTGATTTTTACTAGAAAAACTTTTGACTTTTATGATGCACTTACCAATATACAATTTTGACTATTTTGAGCAGGGATTATGAATTAAACAGTTGGGTTTATTAGCTAGGCATAGCAATCCGAAAATAGAATTTGTTGTGAAACTTGATGTTCATGAAATAGAATTGTCTTAAAATATTGGACAATTGTTGTTCATGAAATGAATTTTGAATTAGGATTTTTATTTTTCAAGAAGAAATTATTGTAAGGTTTTATAAGAATAAGTTAGTAATACCTATAGGTATTGATAAACAAATAAGTAATTATTTTTTGTTTTCATCAGCAGTCAGTAAAGGACTTAGAAATTTTAAAGAATTTAGAGAAATAGGTGAAAGGTAGTTAATAGGAATGAATCGGAAGTGTTGAAATGAGTTAATTTATAAGTTATTAGGAATAGTAAGAATAGGGCGTTTCTTATTTAGTAGGGATATTTCAGTGGTTCGTAATAAAAACAATTTTAGAACGGATGTGAAGTAATTGAATTTATAGAAATAGATGAGGCTGTCAGAATTGGAAGATATTTTGCTGATTTAAATTTTTGGTTTTATGTATAATAGAATATAATTTTAGTACACCTCAATAGTTTGTTTCTCTCTCTTTCAAATAAAATAGACCCTTCCACAGATTTTAAGTAGCAGCTCCAAGTAAATAAACACCATCAATATACCGCTCGCCATTTACCATTCAACTAATTACATACTTGAGGCGTTTTGCTACACTAATAGGCAAAATGGAGCTGAGGTGGAACGCAGTAGTAACTGAAGTGTTCCAAGTATAGGTAATGCACCAATGATCAAAAGCATAATAAGTAAAATGGAGCAAAGGTGTCACCGATGGCCAAAAGCCCAATAGGCAAGATGAAGCTGAGGTGAAACGCAGTAGTAATTAGGGTGTTCCAAGTATAGGTTTTCAGGCCTATAATGTATCATTTTCTGTCATTTCAACAGCAACGTTAAGTTATCTGTCACTGTTTATTCTACCCGGGAAAATAGACCCGTAATTTACGATGTCTTTACTGTAAAAATGAAATGTAATCAAATAATCAAAAACTGAACTTCCCGTATTTCAAATCAGTATCCATAAATTGAAAGATGATGAAACAAATTAGCATTGACCCAAATTAATTAAAATATTTTCATATGTAGGTTCAAATTTTAAACAAGCCATCAGTGACCAAGCACATGTCATCATTTGAACTCGTAAATAAAAACCCGGAAAAGATCAATCCCAAGGTTAAGCACCTAATTAAATTGGACCCAAAATGACAAAAATTTCAAACAGATTGCATCATCCTCTAAAATGATGAAATTAGTTTTTGGAATAATATCTAGGTCGACCAATAGGATTGACTTATAGATGGTCAAACGACTGCCTATTGTCGATTTTGATGGATAATTAATAATATTATGGAGGGAATCGGAAAATATAAAACAGGCGGTTTTAGAAGTGGAGGATCAGTTTTTAAGTTCAGTTGAGTTGTTAGTTCAGTCTTCACATCAGTTTTAAATCTACAGTACCCAATGAGTCCGGATAAAGTTCGCGAAGAGTTTCTTTTATTTTGTTGCCTCGGGAAAAACGCGTTAAGCTTTGAAAAGGTAAAGGAAAATTGTGAAAGAAAGAACATTTAGTCGTTCAACATTATGTGCGAGCTCTAGCTGAATTTTGAAGTAAATTATTCAAGTATTTTATCGAATAACCTTTTAAATGTAAGTAGTCTAGTGACTTTTATTATTATTATTTTTATTTTTTTGACTTTATAAATGATTCGGAATGATAAGAAGTGAATTGGCATTGAAATTTTAACACGTTCTCTGTAATGTCGGTCATTTTGACCGAAACATGTCTTGTCACACCACGCCGCATCGGTCATTATGACCGAAAAATTCATCGATTTTATTTGTGCTTTTAGAGCGCCATCGGTCACAAGCTATATGGTGCTGTGTATAGGGCGTGACCGAAGTGGACATTTATTTATAAACATAAAAGTATCATATGAACTGGCGTCGACAGGCAATTCCAGTATGGAGTCCTCCCATTATGCGAGTAGGTAATGAAGGTCGAGCCGAAATCGTGATCGACGCGGCGTACAACGGTCAAATTGAACAAATTGTGCTCTCCACGCCGCGTCGGTCATTTTGACCGAAATTTCCAAAAATGTAATATTTTCCATTTTTGATAATATAAAATGTTGGAACATGTTTCTTTCATTTCTAATACATCTTTTGGATCAAAAAAACCTCTTGGCGCAGGATGCAAAATCTCAAAACACGTTGGCAGAGAACGTGTTAATGCATAAAAACTTGAGTGAATTGACTGTAAAAACTTTATTGCATAACTTCGATTGCCTTCGAGTATAATGACATTTTTGAGTGATTTGACTGTAAAAACTTTATTGCATTACTTCAATTGCCTTCGAGGATAATGACATTTTAAGTTAATTTTGCAAAGAATTAACAAAGGAAAATTATAATGCTCTTAACAATAAGTATACGATTTTGAGTAGGAATTAATAATCAAATAATTGTGTTTATTGGCTAAGAATCCGAATATAGTAATTGTTCTGTTCAAAATGATCCTTAGTCAAGGATGGGGACCACTAAAATTAAAAGAATAAATCATTGCAAGTATGGGAAATTTTGTTTGAAAATTGTTGTTTATGAAGTACCATTGATGACCTTAAGTGCTGAAGTTTTGAATTAGGGTTTTTGATTTAGAAATTATTGTAAGGTTTTTATAAAAATATAATTGGTAATACATATGGGTGGCATTTGCTGTTTTTTTTTTTTTTTTTTCAATGGCAAAGATTTTTGGTATAGAGTATAGGTTTCAGAAATGTCATCTTTTGACATATTATGTCTCAATGTTTAGTAACTTTCGGTTTGACTGGAAATGGCCCTAATTTGGTTATTTCGAATGGCATCCCAAGAATTTTTTCGCATTTTTGGGATCATGATGTGTATGAAAACGTCAAATTTGAACATTCTTGAAGGCACTTTAGAATTCTGGATCAAAATTTATTTTTGAATAGGAAGTCACAGAATGGTCTTTAAATTGTGTTTTTCAACTAACACGATCGAAGAAAAATACGAATGCCATGTTGCTATCCTTTGCTTGTTCTCCAAAAGCTTCTAAAGTTGTGAAAAATCACATTTTACGTGATATCTCAAAGAAATCAGTGAAATCACCCAACTTTCACAACAAGAGTTTTCTACCTTTTTCATAATAAAACTAACTATGCATTGAAACTTTTCATTAATGCCAGTTTTTAATTAGTTTTATCTACAAGCGTTTGGTTATGACGTTTTTACATAACCATTTTTCTAGTAATTGAGTTATGTTACGAGACTCATAACACAACTAGTGGTGTTATAGACTAGGTTATGAATTCATAACACAACTAATGGTGTTATGGACGAGGTTATGAATCTATAACACAACTATTTTTGGTGATTTGACAAATGTCAAAGGTAAACCTGTGAAGGGAAAAATAGAAGTGGCTGTCAGACATAGAAAGATATTTGCTTATTTTAATTTTGGTTTTAAGTATATTAAAATATAAATTAGTAAACCTCAATAGTTTGTTTCTCTCTTTTGCGAATAGACCCCCTCCACAATTTTATAGGTAGCCGCTCAAGGAAATAAATACCGCTCGCCATTTACTTGAGTACTTGTGTGCGTTTTGCTACACAACTATTAAAATATAACAGGAGAGGATACATTATAGGCCTGATTGTCACAGTAATAGGTAAAATGGAGCTGAGGTAAAATGCAGTAGTAACAGTAACCGTTCAATTGGCATCCATGTTGTAATCGTAACGTAACACGCTCCACTAGGAATGACAGGCTAAAATATAGATACGCACCTTCTTCCAAGCATTGTACAATATTTCCAATATAAGTCACGCAATTAGCTGCAGTACTCCGTAAAGAATCGACAATAACTCCCGAACATAACGATTGACAATTGGCTGGCACTCCTCTTCTGTTACAACAACTGGCGTGGTTTCTGCCTCCTGCTGCGCAACGTAATATTGTATGGAATTCTAAAAAATTACACAATGAAATAATGTTTTTAATAGTTTGCTAAAACTCTTACCAGGTCCACATACAGCTAACCGTTTAATGTCATTCATATTGGCATCGTAAGAACACAAAGGTAAACAGACGCTGTTCAAATTTGCTTCAACACAACAAGCTGTCACATTGTAAGCAGAAGCTTCTTCAATTTCCTCTTCTTCAATCTGAAAAATTACAAATAAATAAAACCACAGTTTACAGATTTTGCTTTTAATTATCAGGCCTAAAAATTATGACATTTTTCTAAAAGATCTTTGTTTATTCTCAGCAGCATTTCTTTTAATCCAACTATTAGGATTTCCAGCTTTAATCCAAAACTTATATACAATAGAATGTTTGTAAACCTCTCCAGGGTATAATGTACTTCTAGGAAAGTTTTTGAAATTTATAGCATTTGGATAGTTTTGAGTTTGCAAAGATATAGCTCCATGAGTTTTATAAACTGCCTGTCCTTTTCCTTGAATCACTGTTGCATTTGAATAACGAGACGGAATAACGTTGATATTTTTGCAACTGGAAGATTTTCGAACTTTATCCTGAGATTTTCTTTTACTGTCATTCGATCCAGATTCATCTAGTGATTGGCCATTGTCCGATACTTGAACAACCTTCAACATTTCACTTATGGTTTGCTTCAAGGTTGAACAATCTTCATCAATAGGATCATCACAAACAATTTCATTAGCTTGTTTTAGATATTCAAATTGAATTGGGGTTATTGTATATGGCTCATCAACAATATTTTGATTTGATTTTGATTTCAATGAAGCAAATATTGATATTAGTCCTTTGATTTCTTCAAAGCATTGTTTTTTATCGTTTTCTAATAGTTTGTCAACTTTTTCATAAACCTTTTCAAACAATAGTGAATTTTTATCAGATTTTTCAACTTTAGCTGGAACAGATAAGCTTAGTTTTGGATTTATTCCAAACCCAAAATGATTGCTTGTGTTCACTTGAACTCCTGGCTGATTGCTATATATTTCCAGCATTCTACCACTAGGAGGATGCAAAAGTCTTGCAACAAAACATTGATCTTGAAACATTCCTCTGTTAACACACAAGTTTTGATCAATACCATCTTTTGCTACATTTCCGATAACTTGGCCTAAAGTTTTTGGAACTTGAAAGTCAAATTGTGTATGTATAACGTTCATTATTTCTCCAGTAGGGATTTTATTTACTTGCGGCGTGTAACAGTTGCAATTTAAAGTTAAAATATGCCGATAAATCTCTTCGGGTCCGCTATAATGACCTGCCAAATTGAAATATAATAAATGCGTTAAATTAATGCAAGTTGGTTTAGTAGTTTGAGTATCAAAGTCAACTAGAAATTCGTTTTTGGGTGATAGTTCAAAGGTGACTCTAAGTAGCAAGTCTCCAGGATATCCTTCTGTGAGATGAGGACTAATGTGGCTCATAATAACTTTCCTGCCAGTTGTGTAAGTATCCCAAACAATTTTGTCTAGGCCTTTGAATCCTCCATGAATACTGTGAGCTCCATCATTGGAATTTATTTGATATTTTTGGTTGTCGATGGTGAAATTGCTGTTTTTGATGATGTTTGAGACTCGGCCAATAAGAGATCCAAAAAAGAAATTTTCGTAAAATATGTAGCCGGCCAAATCGTCAAAACCTAGTAGAACATCTTCCACTTGGCCTTTTCTATCAGGAAGCTTTATGGAGATTACTTTAGCTCCATAATTGATCGCTTGGATTTGGATATGGTTTTTGTTTTTCCATGTAAATCGTTTTATTTGGTGCGAAATGCCTTCGTTGTCGAAAAACTGACCAAAATTGTCTTCGATTAAGGACACACCTTCAACAGTATTTTCAACTTTGATTTTTGGTGGGATTTTGGGTTTGATATCTATTGAAGAATTGGATGAATCTTTGTGACTGGTATTCGATAGGGTTGTAGCCTGATTTTCGTTACTGGGGGATGTAGACTGGATTTCGCCTTCGCTCATTTTGAATTTTGTGGAAACTATTAATTAAATTTTGGAGACAGATTTGCTGTCAATTATTGACATTTGAGAAATTTTGAAAATAAACACAGCTTGTGGGATTCATGATTATTTGGGCACTTTCCAAAATTCGCCGGTTTCTGAACCGGTGCGATACCGGTTTATCAGTTTACTCACCAAACCGTTCCAAAATGTACCGACCGGTTGAACCCGATTGTTCGTTTCAAAATTGACTGGAATGATCAGCTGTGAGGCACCGAATCCACCGGGAATTTTTGTCGGTTTTTCCGGTTGGAACTATTTACCGTTTATTTACTGTTAACCGATGCTGTCAACTTAAATTAAAATGTCAAAGTGACGTGCACAGATGACGTGTTTTGGATAGGCTGACTCATGGCTGACTCATGACTATTCAAGGTGCTGTCAAACTTTAATTAAAATGTTCGCCAGGAGGCACACAAACCCTTCGTTTGTTTGTCAAAGTCACGTGTTTTGGATAGGCTAATTCTCATTTTTTTTTTTCTGATACTTTGGCGAATGAGACTAGACATTTTGAAGGATAGGTTGGCGAAGGAAAAAAAAAAAGTACGCATAAATTAAATTGTCACAACTCCCCCTTTCCTACGACAGGAGGAAAAGTACCAGAGGAAACTTTTCCGACAATCAGCCAAGCTTGAGAGACAAGACAGAGATAGGGAACGTTAGAGAGAGAGAAAATCAAATATCAATAAGCCAAGACATCAAATATGAAGTCCAAGTAGAGCTTCGTGTGAAGTATCTGCTTACTTCACCCTAAGAAAAACCACGAAGGTAAGATAACCATCATCAGGTAAAGTGAAAGTAAAGGTAAAAATAAGCAAAATATGGTAGAAGAGAGTAAAAAAAAAGAAAGAAAAGAAAGAGAAGTAAGGAAGCTTTGGCCGTCAGACAGAAAAAAAAATTCTAAAACATTTTTTTTTTTTTTTTTAAATTTTTATTTTGTTTGCAGATGACATTTGAATTTTTTGCGTAACCAGTGTGGCGTTCTACTTTCGAATTCCATAGTAGAACCTCGTGTACTGGTCTTGCACTGGATGCCAGTGAAGAACTCTCAAAGTTCTCCACCACAAAACGACCAAAAAGTGGCTGGAAGAGATAAAAGACAAGGGAGTAGAGATTTAAATTTTCCCAAAAGACCCACCAACAGTTGGTAGCAAGATATAGCTCCGCCCGGTTGAAAGATGCCTCCCCTGCGGGGAGGCATCTTTCCCCCAAGTAGTTACAAAATTATATTGTGGGCAGCCAAAAATGAAATTGAAAAGGGTGTTCCAAATGATGACACTACCAGTAATCCCAAAAGCCCTTCATCAAGAAGACGATCTCCAGAATTTTCAAGTGCTCAGAAAAGGAGGACGATATGACGATGATGTCGTCCAAATGTACCATGCCTGAGGGTTCCAATTCCGGACCCAAAACACAATTAACTATTCGTTGCCACGTGGCAGGAGTATTGGATAACCCGAAAGGCATGCGAAGAAAATGAAAAAGACCACGACCAGGTACTGTGAAAGCGGTAAGCTCACGAAATCTCTCACTTAAAGGTACTTGCCAAAAGGCAGACTGAGCTGATATAACGGGCATTCCTCAAACGATCCAAAATGGCCGAAATGTAGGGGATAGGATATGCATCCTTCTTAGAAACTTCGTTGAGACGCCGAAAATCTATACAAAATCGAAATGATCCATCTTTTTTACGGACGAGACATACTGGACTAGACCAAGGGCTTTTTGAACGTTCTATAACCCTCAACCTTAGCATTTCCTCAACTTCCTCATCAATAAACTTTTGTTTGAACGATGACACGGGATAATAGCGTTGTTTTATTGGTTTAACGCCAGGCATAATTTCTATCTCATGCTCAGCCACCTTACAGCATCCAAGGCCAATACCCATTTTCACCACTTTATTTTCAATAAGTTTGTTGAGATGTTCTCGTTCTGAGACTGTGAGGTTACTTTCGTCTTGCACAGTGCAAATTTGAGTCATCTCAGGTGTTTCGGAAAACTGCCAAACATTTTGCCTGAGATCTGGCACAATTTCCATAATTTTCCAGAAATCTAACTCCTGAGACAGCTCAGGTATTATTAAAATATCGATGATTCGAGTCTTCTCCAACAATGTCATGAGGACTTGGATATATCCCATGCTAGAACAGGTTTGGCCATTAGCGACAGTACATTTCACCTCCTGTTTATGTAATTTTAAGCCCAGACTCCTTAAGTTCGACTGGCTCCAGAATCCAATAAACCTAGGATAGAGTAAGCCATAATTTCCACTTGCAAATATGATCGCCATGAGCATGAGCTATGATATAGTCCAATAGGACCTTTATTAGGGAAGATATTGGACTCGGTCGTCATATTTTCTTGGGGGGAGATCGTACGACCTAATAATGGGACTTTTTGTTACCAGTGACGAAGGGTTAAAAATTAATATTCACCAAACTTACTGCACCCACACCACACCATCATGCATTCTAAACCACATACAACACAACCAAACTTTAATGCACCACGGCGTTCCAAAATCAGTAACCGGACTTACACCTAACTTTTAACGGATTTTTTTGACAGCTACCGGTTTACTTAACTGGTCAATTTATCGGTGAAATTTGAGAAGTGCCCTTGTGTCAGAGAATTTATGTATTCTATAAAGAATGAAGGCTTTCACGGCCGGTCAAATCTGATAAAATAGTTTTTTCCGGACTATAATGCAGTGTTTCATTAGTATTTCTACTATAACATTTCGTCTACTGCTGCGGTAGACATCTTTAGAGGCGGTGTGGTAGAGGACGAAGTGTTCTCTTCCATGTTCCTCCGATGACTGGATTCGACGTTGTTGGACCTGCGTTATTTATATCTAGAGTTGTGGGCGTGACTTATATTATGCTATTTTCCTTTTCTCGTTCTCGGAAAAGGAAGGGTTTTTGTTTATTGAACTGGCAACCAACTTTGACCCTTGGTACATAAATAACTATTTCTCTACAAGTGTCACATTCAAAAGTATAAATATCCGAATGTGTTAGTTTGTAATTCTTAAAATCGCCTTTTCGTTTAAGTTTTGCTTTGCAAGTGTCACTTTAAAAAGGAAAAATATCCGAGTGTATCAGTTGGTGAATTTTCAAGTTGGCTCTTCGTTTAAATTTTGCTTTATAAGTGTCACATTCAAAAAGATGAATATCCGAATGTATTGGTGATTCTTCAAGAGACTTTTTTGTCTAAATTTTGTTTTGCAAGTGTCACATTCAACATTTCCGGTACATCGGAAAGAACTGAAACTCGGAATATTGACTAAAAATCACATTTTGAATATTCCCGATTTTTGATGGGCTCCAAATTATCCGCTGACCAATAGAATTATAGACTGGGCCCCGTAATTAAAATAACTCTAGCCCTTCGGGCTCGCGTATAACTCCGGTCCTTCGGGCTCGCGTATAACTATGTTATCCCAGATTCACAGATTTTTATCGTGGAGGCGCGGGATTGATCGAAATAATGTAGCCAGATTTTTCTAGCGACAATTTTTCATGGTATCACTATGTGAATTTTACTTCAGACTAACATTTTTGTGATATTCAGCATGGTGAATTGCTAGAATATGGCTGCAAAACCCGCAGAGAAAAAAAAGTCGACGGGATTACATTTAACAGGCAAAAAACAATATGTTTTCTAGGTTTTGTTATGAAAAAAGCAGCCATTTTTTGGTACATAAATAACTATTTCTCTACAAGTGTCACATTCAAAAGTATAAATATCCGAATGTGTTAGTTTGTGATTCTTAAAATCGCCTTTTCGTTTAAATTTTGCTTTGCAAGTGTCACTTTCAAAAGGAAAAATATCCGAGTGTATCAGTTGGTGAATTTTCAAGTTGGCTCTTCGATTAAATTTCGCTTTATAAGTGTCACATTCAAAAAGATGAATATCCGAATGTATTGGTGATTCTTCAAGAGACTTTTTTGTCTAAATTTTGTTTTGCAAGTGTCACATTCAACATTTCGGAATATCGGAATATCGACTAAAAATCGCATTTTGAATATTCGCCATTTTTGATAGGCTCCAAATTATCTGTTGACCAATAGAATTATAGACTGGGCCCCGCAATTAAAATAACTCTAGCCCTTCGGGCTCGTGTATAATTCCGGCCCTTCGGGCTCGCGTATAACTCCGGCCCTTCGGGCTCGCGTATAACTCCGGCCCTTCGGGCTCGCGTATAACTCCGGCCCTTTGGGCCGGAGTTCCATTCGGGCTCGTATTACTGAGTATCCCATATTCACAGAATTTTATCATGGAGACGCGGGATTGATCGAAATAATGTTGCCAGATTTTTCTAAATTACATTGAAATATCGAAATTTGGAAAGTGTAATTTGTAAATTATTATTTTAATTAAGAATCAGGAATGAAAAACTGAGATTGAATTTTGAATTTTTTTGGGGGCGCTTTAGCCTCCCCTGCCTCCCCCTGCCACTGTTCTTACCTTACTTCCAGTCCTAAATGTCAATCTAGGACTAGGATTTCCAACTCCATGTACATTGACAGCCTCAACAAACACCTCATAATCGGTAACGCTATCCAAATCCTCCAAAACCCATATGCTTTTGGCGTTTAGGATAATCTTGAAATCATCATCTTCCTTTTCATCCTGCGGCTTTACTGGCCTGATATGTATGTTATAACTAGTCACAGTGTCTCCCAAAGTTTTTGGAGGGGACCAGTGTAGAAGTGCAAACTCAGCTTCCACGTTGGTTATGTGTACTTGAGTGGGAGCACTAGGTAGTACCCCATAACCTTGCAACAGGCAATTAGTGTATTCACCCATGTATCTTAAACATCTACAAAAATGCATTATAGTAATGTTAAATACACAGTTATAATCTTACTTGAAATAATTGAAATCCAGGCTAGATACATTTCCTGTACACAACTGCTGGCATATATCTGGCAAGCCACGTTCTCTACAGCAAGGAGTATGGTCTATACCATTGGTGAGGCACCCAAAAGTATCTTGGGCCCATGGAGCACAAATCATCAAATCTGTTATTTCAACTTTTTCAGTTTCAACTGGATCGCATAGTTTGTTCAGACAAGTTTTGTGAGCAATACCTATAACATATTGAATCAATAAAAACAAAACTTTTAGATTTCATGCAAAAGTTACCTTTATTCGAGCAACAACTTTTAATGTCTGGCAAAGGAGGTGCTTTTCCATTTACAGTCTCCTTTATTTTTCCAGGAGCCAACGTTAAAGTTTTCAGGGAATAGGTTGGTAATGAAGTGCCAATTATGTTATGAGAAACTACTGTAATTTCGTACCAAGTAAAGGGCATTAAATCAATGAATGTTGTAGAATTTTGGTTGCCAGGAACTTTTCGAATTGTAGAATTCACAGTGCTATTTGAAATAGTAGTTTCATCTTCATTGAAACTTCTCAGTGTTGTTAAGTTTACAGTATATTCTGTAATGGTTTCACTGTTGGATTCTGGCAAAGACCATTCAACTTTCAATGATTTTTCAGTTAATGGTTCCACTTCAACATTTTCTGGCGGACTAGGTAACAGCTCTATACCTTCCATTATACAAGCCAAGGTTTGCTCAGTGTAAGCAGAACAAGAAAAATGTGTTTTAATGTTTTCAGTTATAGCTGTATACTCTCCACGACAAACATCTTGACAAATATCTGGCACACGTTCATGAATACAACACGGGACGTGGTTTCTACCATCGGCCATACATTTTACAATCGATGGGAAATCTTGCTCGCAATTTTCTGGATCTTGACCAGTACTACCTGGAACAAAAATTGGATAGTTTTAAGAAGTTTGAAAATTAAATCTATTACCTTCAAGTATGCTTTGAATATTACAAAATCCCAAACAACTATTTGAAACGTTTTGAGCCAAGCAACAATCTGTGTAATTGTGGTTTTTGATTCCTCCCCCAGTTGGTTTGGGGTCTTCGTAAATGATGACGTCAGTGGGGTTTGCTGTGATTGCTCTGGATAGTACTACAATAAATAAAGGTTAAGTTATTTTTAATTAAAAAATGGAGTTAATTACCATTCAATCTATGGAAACTTCTTACGATGGGGTTGCTGTTAACTTCGCATACATAGACCCCAGAGTCGTTGGGCTTGGCGTTTTTGATTACCAGAACCCAAACATCTCCGCCTGAAGGTACGTCACTGTTGATGTCCTCTTCTTCTGGACCTGAAATGTATTTTGTCGATTGAAATTAAAACTACACGTAGAAGATATGTACATAAATTGTCTGACTAGGTGTTATGAAGCCGCTCAGGAAGTTTGGCGTATACATTAAGTTACAAAATTCCAAGGTCGATGTACTGGGGCCTATCAGGTTCAGGGAATTGACAATACTATCACAAATTCCATTCAAGACCTTGAAAAGCGGTACGTACAAAACCTTCAGGACAACAAACTACCAATTTTTGAAGACTGATATGTGGAGTGGGTCACATTTCGAGACATTTTCAATAAAGCGGTTCATGAAAATCCAACAATTACGACAATAGAGAAAATGCAGTATCTTAAAACGCATGCGAAAGGGCAAGCTGGAAGACTGATCAAGCAAAGTCTATTAGGCAATCCAACCCATCTGTTAAAATAAAAATTCAATATGGCGTGGCGCCCAAGCATCGTCTGTTGACCAATCGAACTCTGGTACCTACCTTGAAATTTGTATAATGAAGCTAATTTTCCCAATTGAAGCTACTTACTTAATTCATTATAAGATATGTGCTCAAATATTAATTGTATCACTTCTGTGGGTACAAACATAAAGGGATTTTTTCTTTTTTTGACTCCTTGGAGGTTCGTCATAATCATTATCGTCTTCCTCCAGATTACTTTCGGATAATTTTCTCCTTTATTCCCTCGTAAAGTATCCCTTATTTGCCATTAAAGTGTTGCAATATATTGTCAACTAGCTGCTTAAGAAAGAAAGGAGGACCCGGTATTCAACCTTATTAATTTAATTGACGATTCGATCGAATGTTTATTGCAATTCAGCAATAAATTAATATAAATTGCGCTGCAAGCCGCAGCAAAGGCAGACTTAAACCAGTGCAAGTACCTCTCGTTGGAAAAGCCCCTCTGGAATTAAGTCTCCCCAGTGCAAGTACCTCTCGTTGGGAACGCCCCTCTGGGTATCTTCAGCCTTATCGTTGTCCAGTGCAATTACCTCTCGTTGGGAACGCCCCTTTGGACAAGGCATAAGGGTGACGATAAACTAACCTACAGTCCCCCAAGCAGCGTTGACGTGTGCCTTCCTATAAGGACCCCAGTGTTCGAAGGGTCATGTATCTTATAGGAGCAGCGTACATGTAAGGTTATATTTGGGAAAATAGATATCTATATTTTTATAATATAAACTGAGCGAGTTTCTCTCCATCAACCCCCAAAGCTACAAACGCCCCATGTCACCCCCGTAAAGCGGGCAGTTGTGACAATATACCTACTGACAATGCAAGATAAATCACCCCAAATTGCTTAACACGATTTTATCTCAGGAACTATAAGTCCAAATGAGTTGAAATTTTCAGGGATTGAAGTACTCTACTGGAATAGTAATCGCTGAAAATTTCAGCTTTCTATCTATAATAGAAAAAAGTTATGACCTTTCAAAGTTTTCCAAAATCTAAATCATAGGGTAGCTACCTTCTTACTAAAACGATGAAATTTCAATTTTTTTGTTGTTGAGATTTTGTGTCCTGATGGTCATTTGATATCCCTCGAACTCCATACACAAAGTTATTCCCAGATTTGAAGCCGAAATCTATGAAAAAAGGCACTCAGAAACATTGAAAAATTGATAAATCACCCCAAATTGCTTAACACGATTTTATCTCAGGAACTATAAGTGCACATGGGCTAAAATTTTCAGGGATTGTAGTCCCTTGATTGGGATAAAATTCATTGAAAGTTTCAGTTTTCTATCTATAATAAAAAAAAAGTTATGATCTTCGAAAGTTTTCCAGAATCTAAATCATAACGATGAAATTTCCAATTTTTTTTTTGTCGAGATTTTGTATCATAATGGTCAACCAACAAAGTAGCATCAGCAAGAATGAAAGTTACGTTTCCAAGACTAGAGTTATGTTCTGCCATACTTCTTTGACATCTGCTAAAAAAGACTGCCTTATGCATTACAAGTACATGCCTGGAGAGACTCTACAATAGAATTATCATGGTAGGCTAGTAAAACTAAGGTGTTTACATGGGGCAACCCGGAACAAATTTGGGACTAGCTGAAATTATCAGGATACCTTCTTTAGGTGGTCGACAATGTTTCTTTAAAAATCGCACTAAATTGCATGGGCCGTACTCGCCCAATCGGGCTTTAAACTCAAAAAATTGGGTTTTTTTAAAAAAAAATTGAAATATCTCAAAAACTATAAACTTTTCCGAAAATATACAGGAGAACGAAATTGCTGCCAATAAAAATACCTACAAAATCATTTTTTGTTTTTGAAAATCGGCCTACAAACAAAGAACTTATGGGTCTTTAAATAATGGGCCAATACGGCTTGAGCTCCAATTATATCCAAAAATTGAAAAACACATGATACCTACCTGTTCATCAGGACGTAGCGCTACAATAGCGATCATCAGCAGTGTTGCCAAATTATTACAATTGTAGCAACTTTACAGCAAAACAAAATTATACTGAAAACTTCAATTCTTGTGATTTTACAACATTCAAACTTATAGCTGCAAAAATTCGTGAGAAAATTGTTGAAAAATTTAACATATTATTCTAACAAAACTTCTAAACTCTGGTATCAATATTGGAACATGATCGAATTAGCCCTCATGTTTATAAGATCTGAAAGATTGGGTGACATTGAGTTGCAGTTATATTGATATTCCATGCTGCCGGTCATCTTCCTTATGCTAAATCACTCTATCTTCATTTAGAAAATATTTTAAAATTTCAAAATTAGATCTCTGAGGAAGAATATTGCACGTTTTTTACAAAAGGAGCCTTTACGGTTAGAAGAACTGACAAACTCTCTATAAAAACTGTAGGAGGTCTTACTCAAGGGAGGGGACTTACTGAAAACTAGGGCTTCGCGAGACCACAAGACTAGTCTTGGTCTTGTCTTGGTCTTGGTAGCAAGACCAAGACCAAGACCAAGACCGAGACCAAGACCCGATAAATCTTCTCAAGACCAAGACCAAGACTTGACGTTCAAGACCAAGACCAAGACCAAGACTTTCTCTCAAGACTCCCGTCTTGGTCTTGGTCTTGAAAAGAAAAATCGACTCAATATTTATAAAAATATGCAAATTCCTATATCTTCTCTTAATGTCTTTTAATTAAATCAATTCATCAAATTTATTATTTTATGAAATTCACGAGAAGGTATTATAAGTTTTAAAAATTAATACATACAACATAGTGTAGGTAACATTCATTTACAAAGAACACATCGATATTTTCCTATCCCTACATAATACAAAATCTAAGTATTGGAATTTCTAAAGATAATTCTCAACTAACTAACTAACCCAAACTAACACAAACCCCACATCTCACCCAAACTAACCCAAATCTAATTATTGTGAATAGATTGGAATTTCTAAAGATAATTCTCAACTAACTAACTCACCCAAACTAACATAAACCCCACATCTCACCCAAACTTACCCAAATCTAATTATTGTGAATAGATTGGAATTTCTAAAGATAATTCTCAACTAACTAACTAACCCAAACTAACACAAACCCCACATCTCACCCAAACTAACCCAAATCTAATTATTGTGAATAGATTGGAATTTCTAAAGATAATTCTCAACTAACTAACTAACCCAAACTAACATAAACCCCACATCTCACCCAAACTTACCCAAATCTAATTATTGTGAATAGATTGGAATTTCTAAAGATAATTCTCAACTAACTAACTAACCCAAACTAACATAAACCCCACATATCACCCAAACTTACCCAAATCTAATTATTGTGAATAGATTGGAATTTCTAAAGATAATTCTCAACTAACTAACTAACACAAACCCCACATCTCACCCAAACTTACCCAAATCTAATTATTGTGAATAGATTGGAATTTCTAAAGATAATTCTCAACTAACTAACTAACCCAAACTAACATAAACCCCACATCTCACCCAAACTTACCCAAATCTAATTATTGTGAATAGATTGGAATTTCTAAAGATAATTCTCAACTAACTAACTAATCCAAATTAACACAAACCCCACATCTCACCCAAACTTACCCAAATCTAATTATTGTGAATAGGCCAATAAAATTCAAATGAGGTATGTGACTATGTGAGGTGAGGGTTCTCGAAAACCTTTCTCTGGCCTGAATGCTCAGGTAGGTAAGGTAGGTTTAATCTATGGTTCTCTGTGTTGTGGAATGCTTTATGCGGTATTTTTTGACATGAAACGCTCTTGGTGGTAAAAATAGCCTGTAAAGAAGACCAAATGTATGGTCGAAACGTCGGCATAATTTTTTCAGAAAAGGAGGTTTATTTTTTACTTTTGAAGTCCTAAACCCATTATTTCTGCTCTGTCGTTGGATGTTATGTATATTTTAAAAATTTGGTAGAATTTTTTTTTAAGACTATCAAGACCAAGACTATCAAGACCAAGACCAATACCAAGATCAAGACCAATACCAAGACCGCATTTATTTTTCGAGACCAAGACCAAGACTGGCCAGTGTTGGTCTTGATCTTGGTCTTGCGAAGCCCTACTGAAAACACATTTTCTAGGTGGATATCGTCCATGCCCCAGTGCTCCCTAATAAGTGATAGTATTGAAAAGTTTGCAAATGTCGTACCAACTTTTTCAGCAAAACATTGCTGGATTGGTTTTCAGACAAAAAAAAAAAGGAAAAACTGTTTATTAAATTTTGTGTTAATGAAGTGAGTATGTGCCTATACTTGTATATGACCGTATGACAAGGTCACAACTTTTGTACCAAATTCCATAAAAAATACAACTGGTCTAACTCTTTAAAAAGTGCCATTTTGGTACCAAATTTGATACTGTGCCATACGGACTTTAGTTTTAATAGTATATTTTGATTTCCATAATATTATTTGAGATTATTGTTAAACGAGTAAGTAGCAGCACATTTTGGCAAGAGAATTATTTACTTATTTTTGCGTTCAACCCGTTACCTAAAATATTAAATCATACCTAGTGATTTGTATACAATTTTACACACTGGTTTTATATGACCACTACCATATTTCTTTTATGAAAAATATTCAATTAATTTGCGTCAGCGTTAATAAAGTCAAATTTGCCACAAGCAGTTTAATAGAATTGAAGCCCAATCCGCCTTGTTCTCTTGTAGATTTTCAAAAAAGATTATAGTTTTTGAGATATTTCTACGGAAATAAAAAAAAAAAACACAATATACGGCCCATGCGATTTAGTGCGATTTTTAAGGAAACATTGTCGACCACCTAAAGAAGGTTTCCTGAAAATTTCAGCTAGTCCCAAATTTGTTCCGGGTTGGACCCCTAGTTTTATTGGCCTATGGATAAAAGGGGACCCGTCCAGGTGGAAGAATTTTGTAGCCAACCTAGTAGCAGAAATCAACAAACTTATTCCTTTGGCACCACGTGTGAACCGACAACCCAGCTGATATTATATTAAGAAGGATAAGTTGAACTCTATTAAAAAATCGGGCCAACGACAATATATATTTTTTAACTCATTTAGGGATATTTTGTGATGATATAGAACACAACGGATTTATGCTAATCAGATCGACTCTATAATTCCCTTTAAAATAGGAAAAGAGTCATACTGGATCCTGGATATTCCAAACGAAGTATTAGCAATATAGATTATGATTCACAGCTATATATTTTCAAATATCTGAAGATGAGTTGAGCAACAGTCTGACCTTTGTAGAAAATGTTTCCGTATATTTACCAACCACCACAAGAGACATAGAGACGAGTCCTAATTCCATATTAGACCAAATATTATATCAAAAAGAAGAAAATACTTCGTGCAAAATCCTACATCAATCCAAAGCATCAATAATATGGAAGCAGCTACACACTCTGAACTTGTGGTTAGTAATTACGGATTTAGCTTCATTTCAAGTCTCTAATTACATTACGATCGGATTGAAATTAACAAATATATGAAGCAAAATATAAAATGCCAATTGGATTTTGGTTCAGTAAAGATCAGCTATTTTAAAAGCCAAAGGCCATTTTACGGACCACAAAACTAAAGGAGAAGATCACATCAAAGTAATTTAGTTTTAAGAGGGCGAATTTGACCAGAAAACAGCGTAACGGAGGCATAATGCAGTTTATTTTGCAATTTCCTCTTAAAATCTAATTGTAGTTTGAAGGGGGAACGAATAGGGCTAATATATTAGTTTTAAATTGAGATTTTATTGATTGATTCGGGAGAGTAAAACAGACTCCCGGGCATAATAAGTGTCCTCGCGCCCTTTATTTGAAAAGTTTTATCAATATGGCGACGGTATTTAAGCCCCCCGACTTGAAATTCCAATATTTAAGGAATTTATATTGCATTTCTATTTAATAGCTTTTTAGTAGGATTTACATTTTGTCTGAACCACAGAATAACTGTCTAGACTAGGGATTTGTTTGGAGTGAAAATATAGGACCTTTATAGAGTTAGAAAGAGAAATATATCAACTAGGGCAATAACCGTAGATCAAAAAGTTAGTTCAAATAATAAAGACAAAGACCGGAGTTTTCTTGCACTCAGACAAAAAGAAAACTTTCATCAGAAGATTTTCTTCTCAAAAGTAGTTTTGTGTTGGAAAATTATTAATGGCTGTAATTTTTTTGTTTTTGTAAGCTTTATTTGTTCATTAAATTATTAAATTGCATACGATTGTTTCAATTTTCCTCGATTTTGCAAACACGGCACTGCACCATCTTCTGTAATTTGTCTTGTAAAATTCTCATTAATCCCGGCATCATTTTAACAAAGTTCATTGTCAAGTTCGGAGATAGAGCATAAATACCGGCCATTAAAAGTAGGGGCCAAAGCATGAAACACAAAATCTGGATGATGCTTACTATGACCACCCACAATCCGATCATACACAGCGCTGCCAAAACATACGCCTGATTTTCTTCGTTGTTTAAAAACTCTGGAAGAACTCTGGATACGATTTCGCTCATGATTTCGAGGATAAATTTGACGTTCAATTTGACAATAAATAGTTACCTGAATCGTGTAAAACGCCAAATCGTTTATCGGCTGTGACTCTGTTTTCTCCAGCAGTCAATACTCTGGCGCTGTGTCTTTCTCTATCTTCTTTTTTCCACATTATGGTGTTAGAGCCGATATTTCTTACTACACAGGTGATTAGAGCATCGTCACCATCGTACACATGCACTGGGTTGGTTAAGCTGTCTCTCATAGATGGTAAACCTAAAAGAAAAATTACTTGTATTCAACAAATAAATTTCCATGGCAAAGGCAACTCTATATACTAAAATCCCTTTTCTCTTGCCACCTATATGAATAATTTATTTGGGTTTTCGGATATACTAGCAGAATATTTACATGTTAATCGTCTGATGTCAAAATCTGAAACCTCCTAAACGTGAATTATGATTTAATCAAGTCTCAACTAAATCAGCACTACATAACCGCTCTTAGGTTCGTTAATATATAAACTATGTAGATTTGCTTGTGAATTACCTAAGGGCTCGAGTAAATTACGTTTCCATTTTGGACTCTCTCTTTGTATTATCTAGAATATTCCATATGTAAGGTTGGAATAGGCAGGGCCGCAACTAGGGGGTGTATCTTTATACAGTGTTTTTTTTTTGTTGAGTCAAATAACAGTGGGTAAAATTGTTCTCTATTACCAGCTCTAGTCAAAGATTTTCTACGTTAAGAGCCGGAAATAATAAAATATTAATCATCCCGTATCTTCACACAGTGGTGGAATTGTCTTCGATTACCAGCTTTCGTGGGAAATTTCCTACAAGACCTGGGAATAATGAAATATTGATCACTCTGTATGGTTTAGATATTCGCGTCCTTGGTTTAGAAGTAGTAGATGAAGATAGTGAGGTTTAGGACAAAAATCAAACTCCTAGATTAAAAATTCGCCGACGTTTCGGCCTTATATTAGGCCTTCTTCAGGGCTCTTCTTCAAATCAGGAGCTTTCGTAAACACTTAACTCTTAAAACTCCATATTGTACATGATCATTTGTGACATGATTGAAACAAAACAACACAGACTTAAATTGCGGGAAGAGATTTTGACGACACTAGCAACCAAATTCAACTGGTGTGATATGCTGAAGAAGGCCTAATATAAGGCCGAAACGTCGGCGAATTTTTAATCCAGGAGTTTGATTTTTGTCCTAAACCTCACTATCTTCATCCACTATCACTCTGTATCTTTATACAGTGGCTTATTTTTATTGAGTCAAATTACAGTGGGTGAAATTGTTTTCTATTACCGGCTCTCGTCAAAAATTTTTCAGAGCCAAAAATAATAAAATATTGATCACTTGACACAGTGGTGGAATTGTTCTCGATTACCAGCTTTCGTGGAAAATTTCCTACAAGACCTGGGAATAATTAAATATTGATCATGATCACTCTGTATCTTTATGCAGTGGCTTATTTTTATTGAGCCAAATTACAGTGGGTGAAATTAATTTCTATTACCGGCTCTCGTGAAAGATTTTCTACGTTAACAACTAGGGATAATCAAATATTGGTCACTCTGTATCTTTACACAGTGGTGGAATTGTTTTCGATTACCAGCTTTCGTGGAAAATTTCCTACAAGACTTGGGAATAATGAAATTTTGATCACTCTGTATCTTAATACAGTGGCTTATTTTTATTGAGTCAAATTACAGTGGGTGAAATTGTTTTCTATTACCGGCTCTCGTCAAAGATTTTCTACGTTAAGAGCTGGAAATAATAAAATATTGATTACCCCGTATCACACAGTGGTGGAATTGTTTTCGATTATCAGCTTTCGTGGAAAATTTCCTACAAGACCTGGGAATAATGAAATATTGATCACTCTGTATCTTTATGCAGTGGCTTATTTTTATTGAGTCAAATTACAGTGGGTGAAATTGTTTTCTATTACCGGCTCTCGTGAAAGATTTTCTACGTTAAGAACTAGGGATAATCAAATATTGGTCACTCTGTATCTTTACACAGTGGTGGAATTGTTTTCGATTACCAGCTTTCGTGGAAAATTTCCTACAAGACCTGGGAATAATGAAATATTGACCACTCTGTATTTTTATACAGTGGCTTATTTTTGTTGAGTCAAATTACAGTGGGTAAAATTGTTTTCTATTACCGGCTCTTGTAAAAGATTTTCTACAGTAAGAACAAGGGATAATCAAATACTGATCACCCTGTATCTCTATACAGTGGTGGATTGTTTTCGATTACCAGCTTTCGTGGAAAATTGCCTACAAGAATCATTAATAATAAAATATTGATCACTCTGTATCTTTATACAGTGGCTTATTTTTGTTGAAACAAATTACAGTGGGTAAAATTGTTTTCTATTACCGGCTCTCGTAAAAGATTTTCTACAGTAAGATCAAGGCATAATCAAATACTGATCACCCTGTATCTCTATATAGTGGTGGATTGTTTTCGATTACCAGCTTTCGTGGAAAATTGCCTACCAGAATCATTAATAATAAAATATTGATCACTCTGTATCTTTATACAGTGGCTCATTTTTGTTGAGTCAAATCACAGTGGGAAAAATTGTTTTCTATTACCGGCTCTCATGAAAAATTTTCTACGTTAAGAGCCGGGGATAATCAAATATTGGTCACTCTGTATCTTTACACAGTGGTGGAATTGTTTTGGATTATCAGCTTTCGTGGAAGATTTCCTACAAGAGCTATTAATATTAAAATATTGATCACCCTGTATCTTTATACAGTGGCTTATTTTTGTTGAGTCAAATTACAGTGGGTAAAATTGTTTTCTATTACCGGCTCTCGTAAAAGATTTTCTACAGTAAGAACAAGGGATAATCAAATACTGATCACCCTGTATCTATATACAGTGGTGGATTGTTTTCGATTACTTACCAGCTTTCGTGGAAAATTGCCTACAAGAATCATTAATAATAAAATATTGATCACTCTGTATCTTTATACAGTGGCTCATTTTTGTTGAGTCAAATTACTGTGGGTAAAATTGTTTTCTATTACGAGCTTTCGTGAAAGATTTTCTACCTTAAGAGCCGGGGATAATCAAATGTTGGTCACTCTGTATCTTTACACAGTGGTGGAATTGTTTTGGATTACCAGCTTTCGTGGAAGATTTCCTACAAGAGCCATTAATAATAAAATATTGATCACTCTGTATCTTTATACAGTGGCTTATTTTTGTTGAGTCAAATTACAGTGGGTAAAATTGTTTATTTTGAACCATATGATGTGTAATTTTCACATTTCTTACTGGTTCGAAAATGTCATTTTACTTTTGTTTACTTTAAAGCCTGGAGAACTCACATTCGGCCTGTTAAATTGTTCTTTCACACCTAAACACAAATCCAGGTGCAATGTTTGTATTAAGAAGTAGACGTCACAAGTGTTTATATTGTTGAAATTTCATAATATGTCAATGTCGGTGTCATATTTTCAGTCGAAATTCCATTTCTGTCATATTTTTACCTTATTTTTTTCAATAATAATGGTTCAAAATAAAATAGTATACATAACTCGGTGGAAAGTTTTCACATTATGGTCTCGAGAATTGGCCATAGTATCTCTCAACAATAATGAAACACTTTCCACCTTCGCATGTAATATACTATTATTTTGAACCATATGTGTAATTTTCACATTTCTTACGGGTTTGAAGGTTCGAAAATGTCATTTTACTTTTGTTTACTTCAAAGCAGGTCGAAAGTGACAGTTCTCCTGTCACTTTCGGCCTGGAGAACTCACTTTCGGCCTGCTTAATTATTCTTTCACACCTAAACACAAATCCAGCTGCAATGTTTGTATTTAGAAGTAGATTTCACATGTGTTTGTATTGTTGAAATTCCATAAGATGTCAATGTCGGTGTCAGAGTGTCAGTCAAAATTCCTTTTTTTGTCATACTTTTAGCTTATTTTTTTTTTCAATAATTGATGGTTCAAATTAAAATAGTATACATATTTTGGTGAAAAGTTTTCACATATATTGTCTCGAGAATTGGTTGACCTCGGCGCTTCGCACCTCGGTCAACAATAATGAAACACTTTCCACGTCCGCATGTAACTCACTATTTTTATTACCGACTCTCGTAAAAGATTTTCTACATTAAGAGCCGGGGATAATAAAATATTGATCACCCCGTCCGTATCTTAAAGACACAGTGGTGGAATTGCTTTCGACTACCAGCTTTCGTGGAAGATTTTCTACAAGAGCCGGGAATAATATTGTATTTTTATACAGTGGTAGCATTAGTAGTAGGCGCCAAAATTTGGATTGGCCTTGGACTCCGAGGGTTCTACAGTTGCGGTCCTGGGAATAGGTCTATGTAAATACAAGTTTGTTCTCTCATACCCTATTATACATAGAAATTTCCAAAAAAAAAACTTTTCTAATAAAAAGTAAATTCCTCTCTTATTCGTTTAATTACCCAATTACCCTGGAGAATTTAAATTAATCCAACTATTAAGACTGCATACTACGAAAGTGCAATTAGAGTTTTAAGTAGTCGGCCATTTGTACGGATGCATTTTTATATCCAGAAAGTTATAAACTTTCAGCAAAGTTGTCTTGAAACTCTCCAATTCGAAATTTACGATTTATATATGTACAGGGTGATTCATTAAGAATGGCACTCGGCCATATCTCAAAAACTATTCATCGTAGTCATGTCGGAAAAAAATTATCCCATAAATATGGCCAAGAGAAAATGCTGGAAATATATTTCAGCTTTCTAAAATGACCGTGAGGGGGCGTAACCCAACTGTCAAAGTACAAAAATGGTTTTATTTTTTAAATTTCAAATGGAAACGTATCTTAAAAATGCTAGCAATAGATTTTTGATGAAATTTCACACAATTTTGATTTATGACTTTTTACCATAACTTATCGGATAAGATAGTTATGAGCTGTCAAATATTGCAACTCAAGAACACGAAAAACTTCAAAACGACTCAACGAATTGGGTTGATCTTAGGTTCGCTGGAAAGACAAGAGTCTGTTCTTTAATTTTGTTGTAAAAACTTCCAACTTCAGTTAGTTGGACTGACTCTATGGGTGGATATTTGAAAACAATTGAATTTTTCTTGAAATTTTCAAATGGAACGGTATATTTAAGATATGTTCAATCGATTTTTGAGGATGTGTTACCCAGTTTTTCTTTATTATACCTTTCTACAAACGAATTCCAGAGAGTGTTAAATTTAATTTTATCAAAAATA